AGGCAGCCAAGAGTGAGAGTTGGTGAGAAGAGAGTGAGTGTGCTCCCGGGCTGCTGCTGGAGCTGATGTCAGGCTTCTTAGCATAGTGACACAGTGTTGGGAGACTACAGAGAGGTTCATCCAGGGATGTTTGGGCAGGTGGGGACAGTCCTTTGGCTGCCCTGTCCCCTGCCCTGACTTTGCTCTCATTCCCAGAGATCCAAGCCCCTGTGCCGTGGTGTTGCTCCCAATGGCTTCCACAATTCCATCATGGCCCCAGTGGAGAAATGCTCCAGCCTCACCTGCAGCCTGTGAGTGGGGGTGGGAGGGCCGTGGGGGCATCCTGTGAAGCACTGTAGGCATAGGTACAGCATGGGGGCATCCTCACATCTGGGCAGCCTCCCAGGGGCCACATGTGGGGCAGGACCCAGCTGCTGGGCCCAGCATAGTCTGTGCTGATGTCCGTGGCATCCCCTGCAGGCGGGAGCAGGTGCACTCGCAGTGGGAATTCCCTGACTGGATCCCTTTGGCACGGAACTGGACGTGTCTCTCTGAAAGGTACTGTGGGCAGCAGTGGCAGGGGCTGGGTGTGGGGACACAATGCTGGGGAGCAGCTCTGGCACAGATCACCCCCTGTTAGGGGCAGGATGCACCTTTCACACTCATTCCTCCCCAGTGAAGCTGCCCCATACCTGCCGGTGGAGGAGAAGTCTCCACTTTTCTCCATCCAGCGGGAGGGCCTTGAGGATGGCGGTGCTTTATACAGGTTAAACAGGTCAGTGGGTAATCTTGGGGTCCTGCCACATGCAGCCCCTGTTGCCTGGTGCCCTGACCCTTCCTTGCCACAGATTCAGCTCCCTGCAGCCCCACGAGGAGCGCCAGGACGCAGCCTTCTTTGTGGGCGGCCCCATCTGGGCCATGGAGTGGTGCCCGACGCCGGAGGGTGCAGCGGCCGCGCAGTACGTGGCCCTGTACTGCCACAGAACCATGGAGGAAACTCACAGTGCGGTGGGGCTGCACCAGGGCCCCGCACTGCTGCAGCTCTGGGGCCTGGGCACACTGCAGGAGGGGTGAGTGGTGAAGATGGGACAGCATGGGGCTGTTGTGTCCCAGTGGTGGGGCTGCTGCTCTCCAGCTCCAGCGTTTTTCACGGTTCCACCTACAGCTCTGCTGACAGAGCTGGACTGGCCTACGCCATCGCTGCTGATCATGGCTGTGTCTGGGACATGAAGTTCTGCCCCAGCGGCGCTTGGGAGCCTCCTAGCAGCTCCTCAAAGGTGGGTGTGCAGGCTGGCCTTGGGTTTTCCCTGCTTGTGTCTGCCAAAGCACTGCCTTCTCTGGGCAGAACGTGGTGATCCCGAGGCTCCTTTCAAAAACCAGGGGTAGGCTGAGAGCCTGTGCCTGTCCCACAGCACCCACAGATGAGCCGGCTTGGCCTCCTGGCTGCTGCTTTCTCAGATGGCAGCGTGGTGCTGTACGCCCTCCCACACCCTGGTGCACTGCAGAGCTGCACGAGAACCCAGGTAAAAGGTAGGAAGAGCCACGCCGCCCTCATCCCTTTGTGCCCAGAGTTTTGGGAAGCCTGGAGCTGGAGCGTGGCTGCAGCCGCGTTGAAGCAGAGCTGCATGTTCCTTGCTCCTGGCTGGCAGCTGCACGTTGTGGCTGGGATCGGAGCTCCGATCAGGTCTGGCGCTGCCCAATGGTCCTTGTAATGCTCCCATCTGCCGGCAGCCGCGTGAGATTGATGAGCTGCTCGTGGCCGCTCAGCCGCAGCTGACAGCCCCCATCCATCCGCTCGCCTCCGACAATGGGAAATGGGTTTCCCGTGTCTCCAGCCCCAATCCGTGCTCTGGTTCCGGATGGGTTGCGCTGCTGCCGCAGCCCCACGTGGGGTGGGTTGGATCCTTCCCCAGCCTGCAGCTCTCCCACGGAGCAGCCGGGTGCGGCCGTGCTGCGGCATCACGTCCCATCCTTGCGCGTCGCGTCGGATGCCGGCGTCGATTTGCTGCCGTGGGCTTGGTGCAGTGCGGGGCCTCGGTGCTCCCACCTCTGTGACCCCGCAGTGATTGCGGTGCCGGGGATGATGCATGGCTCTCTGCATCTTCCCGCCTCCGCTGCGGTGCGCGGGGTGCTGACGTGCCTGGATTCCTGCTGAGCGCAGGGCATGGAGCTCGTCGTCCCCCCCCGGCACTCGTGGTGCTGCTGGAGGGGCCGTGAGCCGGTGCTGGGGATCCTGCGGGCACCTCGGTGTGTGTGTGTGTGACATTGGGGTGCTGGAGAGCAGTGCTGGGCTGCGTGGGGACGTTGCTCTGAGCAGGATGGGCAGGGACATGGGAGCGCTGTGCCAAGCTCAAGGCTGCCAGAAGTTCCTGCCCTGACCTCCCTCTGCTCTCTTCCAGATGGGTCCCCCCACAAGCACATGATCTGCAAGGTCAGTGTCCCTGCTGCTGCCCCAACGTGCCTCCTGCCTGCTGCAGGCAGGGAGCTGGGGGGCACCAGGAAGCCTGCAGAGCTCGCTGCCCCCAGCACCGTGCTCCCACCCCTGCGTGTTTCCCACTCCCAAGATAGGCAGTGCTGGAACACGGCCTTACCTGTGTCCTTTCTCGCTGCAGGTGCAGCATACCACCACACTGCAGGTGGGCTCCATCCAGGCAGGGAGCGCAACCGAATGTGGGCAGTGCTTCAGCCTCTCCTGGATGCCCTCCCGGCCCCACCAGCACCTGGCGGCGGGATTTTATGATGGTGAGTCCCTGCTTTCAGGGAGCAGCTCTTGCCCTTTGTGCTTCAACCTTTGGTGCTAGGGTGGCTCACCACAGCAGCACACCTCTGCCTGCAGGCACAGTGGCCATCTGGAACCTGCTGACCGCATCCCCACTGCAGCGCGTGTCCCACGCCGACGGCTCCCTCCAGCTGTACCCTTTTCAGTGCTTCCTGGCCCACGACCACGCTGTGCGCAGCATCGAGTGGTGCAAAGCCAACAGGTGAGAGCTGCTACTGGCTGAGGACTTGCTCCTGCTGCTGGGCTCAGGGCTAACAGTGCCTGAGGCGCTGGATGGTTTTGGGGTGAGGGCCCTGTGGCGTGCAGCTGATGGTACAGCTCAGCCCTGGGGTCTCAGTGCCGCCTCTCTCCTGGTTCTCAGCAACTTCCTGGTCACGGTAGGGAACGACCGAAAGATCAAATTCTGGGATCTGCGGCGCCTCTACGAACCCATCAACAGCATCAAGCGTTTCCTCAGCACTGAGGTGGCCTGGCTGCTGCCCTACAATGGTGTCACCGTGGCCCAGGACAACTGCTATGCCTCGTGAGTGCTGGGGCTCTCCAGAAGATGGGTGGGCTCCTGCACTCCAAGAGGCAACGCGCTGATGGCACTGGGGGCAGGAAGGCTGGGACATAGCTGTGCTCTGAGCTCAGCCCTCACCCTTTTCTGTTGCAGTTATGGTCTCTGTGGGATCCACTACATCGACGCTGGGTACCTGGGCTACAAGGCGTATTTTGTGGCCCCTCGCAAGGGGACTGTGTGGGTAAGGGGCAGACACGGCTCCGTCCTGTGGAGCAATCCCACGGGTTGCTGGGGCATGGCACCATCACTGCTGGGAGCTGCTTCCCAGCTCCTCTGTTCCCACAGAGCATCTCAGGCTCGGACTGGCTGAACACGGTGGCTGCTGGGGACATCACAGGCGAGCTGGTGGCTGCGGTGCTGCCCGACCTGGCTGTCAACCCACTCAATGTCAAGCGCTCCTCGGACCGCAGATTTGTAAGGCACTAAGGGACTGGGGGGCAGTTGCATCAATGGAAAAGTGCTGCTCTGTGTTCCTGTCTGGGCACTGCAATGAGACTTTGGGGCTGGGTTCCTCGCCCTGTCCTCTGCCCTTCGGCCTGAGGTGCCTCAGAGTTGGGCATAGTCCCTTCAGAGGGATATGGACCTGCCCCTCAGCCTCCTCTCTCCCCCAGCCGGTGTACAAAGCTGACCTGCTGCCCTGCAGCACTGCAGTGCCAGGGAGCAGTGAGCCAGTGCTGCCCAGGACCCGGCAATACAGCGAGATGGTGGCCGCAGCCTACGTGCGGTTCCGGGACACCGATCTGGTATGAAGGATGGGAGGGAGATGGGCCCTCCTAGCTGGGAACAGTGGGACTGGGGGTGATGGTGTGGCTTCCACCCCTTGCTCAGTCTTAGAGCTGTGAGTATGGGGCAGAACAGACCTCTGAGGAGTGAGGTGTGGGATGGGGACAGTTCACCTCACCCAGCACCAGGATAGAGCCTGGGGGCTATGGCAGGGTGTGGGGGTGCCACCCCCTGCACCTCATAGTGTGCCCACTGCCTGCCTTCCCCCAACCCCCCCACAGCGCAGCTTCAAGAACTTCCCCAGCCGTGAGCCCATGCGCCGGATGCACAAACAAGAGGGGAAAGCAGAGCTGAGCCTCGACCGCTTGCAGCTGGAAGCCCTACACAAGGTGAGGCAGCCCCCCCACCCAGCCCAGCTCCCTGTCCCGCCTCCAGGGTGTGGGGCCCCCTCCCCACCCTTCTGACAACCCCTTCCTGCAGGTGCGCTTTAGCCCCAACCTGGAGGCGTGTGGCTGGCTGGTGTCGGGGGGACAGGCAGGCATCGTGCGCCTGCACTGCCTGGCGGGGCTGGCAGCTGCTGTGGACCCGCAGCTGCTGCCGCAGAGCCGTGCCCGTTACAGCTCCCACCCTGGCATTCCTGTGAGCCCCCCCTCCGAGTAACCCCGGCCCCTCCCTGCGGCTGTGGGGGCTCCGTGCCCCCCTTGGTGCTCCTTCCCCGGGGACCCAGTGCTCCCGCTGTCCCCCTGGGGCCCAGAGGGCTCTGTGCTGTGCTCTGCGCTTCGTGCTGGTGCAGGGCGGGCAGTGGGACCGCTGCTGTGTCCCTGCCTTGGGCTGAGGCTGTGCGTGGGGCTGCGCTTGTGCTCCCCCTCTCCCCCCCCCCGGTGCCGGGGGCTCTGGAATCGCTCACATTGAGCTGTGGTGGCAGCAGTGCAGTAAAGTGGTGCGTTTTGTAATGGTGGTGTCATTGGAGTTCCCCTGTGCTGAGCCCTCGGCTGCTCTCCAACACCTTTATTGGGGCTGCAGCCCCGCACGACAGGACGAACACAGACAGACACAGACACTGACACACAAAGAGAGGAATGGGCCAAGCTCCAGCTCCCCGCTGCCCTGCTCCCTGCCCCACAGCAGGGGCAGCAGTGGGGGGAGGGTGCAGCTGTGGCCCCCAGGCACTGCCACAGCCCCACAGCAGGTGGGGGGCTCATGCCAGAGGGCTGTGGCCATGTGGGCAGCCCCCTGCTGCCTCTAGGTACCGTTCCACCTGCACCGTGCACGCAGCAAAGCCAAACTTCTGCTGCAGCCGCCCCGTGGCATCCTGCAGCACCGTCTCAGGGTCAGCGGTGGCATCTGTGGGTGGTGGGCACTGTGACTCAGCCCCACGGGCCTTGGCTGTGCCATGGAGTGTGAGCAGCGTGTGGGGCACTTACCTACAGCCACGTGCACTGATACCAGGGGGTGGCTCGGCGTCAGCGCCCACACGTGTAGGTCATGGATGGCTCTCACCCCGCTGACCGCCAGCAGCTCCTCTGTCACTGCAGTCACTGCCATTCCCCGTGGGGCTCCTGCGCCAAGGGGTCACCCACAGCCCCTTCCTCCATTTGGGGCTGGGGATGGGGACAGCTGCTCCCCATAGGGCTGGGAGGGACAGGGAAGGGCTGTAGGGTGGGGGCTGCAGCCCTCAAGTCCCCTCACCTTCCATGAGAACCCTGAAGACGTCCCTGAGGATGGTGACGGTGGAGCCCAGGACGAAGACAGAGAAGAAGAGGGTGCTGATGGGGTCTGCGATCTTGCACTGGGGCTGCAGAAGGAGAGGGGAGGAATGGCGTGAGGCTGCGGGACTGCGCTGCCCCCCATGTAGGGCAGAGCCCAGCCCCACACCTTGAAGTAGATGATGGTGGCGGCCAGCAGGACGCCAACACTCTGCAGCAGGTCCCCCACCACATGCACGAAGGCGGCACGGACGCTGGTGCTGCCAGGCAGGGGGGCACTGGGCAGGCAGCCCCCCTCCAGCTGCTCATAGCCCCCCACGCCGTGCCCGTGGCCCTGGTGCAGGACGTAGGCCATGCTGTGGGGAGGAGATCGCTCAGCACCGGGGCCATGGGGCACATCTGGGGCTGGGGGTGGATGGAGGGGACGTACACCAGGTTGGCACCCACGGCGCAGGCGGAGGTGGCCAGCATGGTGCGCGCCTCGATCTCGTAGTCGGCGCTGAGGATGCGGGCGGCCGCCAGGTAGAGCAGCACCGCAGTCACCACCCAGATGGACAGCACGGAGGCCAGCGCGCCCAGCGTCTCTGCGGGGCAGGAGGGGGTCAGCGGGATCCCTCGCTGCAGGCAGCCCCAGGGCTGAGCCCCCCCTCACCCGAGCGGTGCCAGCCGAAGGTCATGGTGGCGGTGGGTGGGCGGGTGGACACCCAGAGCGAGAAGAGGCTGACGGCCATGCTGCCCACGTCTGTCAGCAGGTGGGCTGCGTCCGTCATGATGGCCAGGCTGTGCGCCAGGTACCCGCCTGTGGGTGGCACCGGGCTCTGGCACAGCATTCCATCCCACTGTGTCCCATCTTGTCCCAGTCCAACTCCTCATCCCATTGTATCTCATCCCATTGCACCCCACTATGTCCCATTCCATTTCCATCCCATCTCAACTCTCCATCCCATCCCACCATGTCCCATTCCATTATGTCCCATCCCACCATGTCCCATCCCACCATGTCCCATCCCATCCTGTCCCATCCCACCATGTCTCATCCTGTTATGTCCCATCCTGTCCCATCCCACCATATCTCATCCCATCCCATCCTGTCCCATCCCATCCTGTCCCATCCCATTAAGTCCCACCATGTCCCATCCCACCATGTCCCACCTCATCTCATCATGTCCCATCCCACCATGTCCCATCCCATCCTGTCCCATCCCACCATGTCCCATTCCATTATGTCCCATCCTGTCCCATCCCACCATATCCCATTCCATTATGTCCCATCCTGTCCCATCCTGTCCCATCCCACCATGTCCCATCCCATTATGTCCCATCCTGTCCCATCCCACCATGTCCCACCTCATCTCATCATGTCCCATCCCATTATGTCCCATCCTGTCCCATCCCACCATGTCCCATTCCATTATGTCCCATCCTGTCCTATCCTACCATGCTCCACCTCATCTCATCCTGTCCCACCCTACCATGTCCCACCTCATCCCATCATATCCCATTCCATCATGTTCCATCCTATCTCACCATGTCCCACCTCATCCCATCATATCCCATCCTGTCTCATCATGTCCTTTCCCATTCTGTCTCATCCTATCACATCTCATCTCACCCCACTGCGTTCTATTCTTTACCATCCCAACTCCCCCTCCCCTCCCATCCCGTCCCCCCATCCCCTACCTATCACCTCCCCGACCATGAAGATGCAGCAGACGCTGCAGGCGATGCTCAGCTGCCTCTGTGCTTGGAGCCTCTCTGCGATGGGGCCGGGGGCGGCCGGGCTGCAAGGGCACAGCGGGACCCCCCCCGACTCCTGCGTGTCCTTCCTGGGGGGCAGCAGGGCTGGGGCATCCTGGGGGCCTGGAAACAGACTGAGGCGGGGGATGGTACAGCTGTGGGGGTGGAGAGTGGTACCGGCGTGGGGTAATGGATGGATGGTAGCGGTGCAGAGGGTGGCAGTGGGATGCTGGTGTCAGATGGATACCCTCGGGTGGAGGGACACGAGGGTGGCACAGAGATGGGGGTGATGGTGGAATGGAAATGGCACGAGGGTGGTGTGAGGACTGCGGGTCCCGGGAGTGGGAGGGAGCAGGGTGTGATGGGGATATTGGGGTGGTGGGTGGTGGGGCTGGGGGTGCAGGTGTTGGTACGGAGGTGCCGGTGATGGAATGCTGGGCTGGGGGTGAAAGTGATGGGGTGCCGATGCCAGTCATGCAGTGCCAAAGATGGGGTGCAGATGCTGGGGGTGCCGAAGCCGGTATGAGGATGCTGGTGTTGTGATGCCGGCGATGTAGTGCCGGTGCCGATGATGGGATGCCGATGCCAATGATGCAATGCTGGTGCTGGGGGGTTCCGATGCCGATTTGGGGATGCTTGTGATATGATGCCGGTGCCGGTGATGGGGTGCCGATGCCAATGACGGGGTGCCGGTGATGTGTCGGTGCCGGTGATGTGGTGCCGGTGCTGGGGTTGTCCGTGCCAGTATGGGGATGCTGATGATGTGGTGCCGGCCCGGCGGTACCTGTGTCCCCGGACTCCAAGCAGCCGCGCACTCTCGGCGCCGGTCGCGGACGGGCGCTCCATGCCGGGCAGCACCGCGCGGCGCCGGGACCCCGAGGCCCCGCCCCTTCCTATGGCCCCGCCCTATCCCCGCCTCGTGGGCGTGGCCTGAGTCCGCCAACCTTGTCGTAGACTACGCCCCTCGCGTGACCACGCCCACTCAGCCCGACGTATGGGGCGTGGCCTACGAACGCAGCGGTGGGCGTGGTCTCATGTATGGGCGTGGTTTCGCAGATCGCCCCGCCCCTTCCCGCCAGGCCCCGCGGCCGCCGCGCGGTGATGGCGGCGTTGGGCACGGGGGAGCGGTGCGGGCAGTGGGGCGCGGCGGGGCCCGAGCGTGGTCCCGGCCCCGGTCCCGGCCCCGGTCCCGGTTCCCTGGGCTCGCTGCTTAGCCGCCTGCCGCTGGCCCCGCCGCGCCGCCGCACCGCCAGCCAAGGCCAGGGCCCGCCCGAGCCGCCGCTGCTGCGCACCAGCAAGCGGACCATCTACACGGCCGGGCGGCCGCCCTGGTACAGCGAGACCGGGGCGCCCGTGGGAGAGGCCTTCGTCATCGGTGCGGGGCGGGCGGGCGGGGCGGGGGTCTGGGGCCTGGATCGGGGGTGGGGGTGGGTCTTGGGGTTGGATGAGAGATGGGGATGAGATGCGAGGTCTGGGATCTGAAGCGGGGCTGCGGCTTGGCTCGGGCCTGGGATCTAGAGCCGGCCTGGGCTTGGTTCTGCATCTGGGATTTGAGGTTCAGATGAGGTTCTGGGGCTGGGCCAGGATTGGTACGTGGGATCAGGGCCTGTTTCAGTCTCGATCTGGGCCTGGCTCTGGGCTGCATCCTGGGGCCGGGTGTGGGCTCGGGGGCCTCAGCCTGGGCCATGCTGATGATGCCTGCTCATCTCAGGGCTGTGCGGCGGCAGCGCCTCGGGTAAGACGACGGTGGCCACGCGGATCATCGAGGCATTGGACGTGCCCTGGGTCGTGTTGTTGTCCATGGATTCCTTCTACAAGGTGAGAGCAGTGCGTTCTGGCGTGGCACAGCACGGCGTGGTGCTAAGCGGTGCCGTTCCCAGGTGCTGGACGAGGGGCAGCAGGCGCTGGCGGCCCGCAGCGATTACAACTTCGACCACCCGGATGCCTTCGACTTTGAGCTGCTTGTCAGCGTCCTACGCAAGCTGAAGAAGGGCAAGAGCGTGAAGGTGCCCGTGTACGACTTCACCACTCACAGCCGGCGCCGAGAGTGGGTGGGTGCCCTGAGAATGCAGGGCTAGAAGTGGGCACAGGGGCAGGGCTTGTGGTTTTGTGGTGAGGGCTGAGATATGGAGTGAGATAAAGGCTCCTGATGGCTGCGTGCCATGGGCTGGGTGCTTCCTTAGCGTTTGGGCTAAGACACAGTGGGGGGGAGGGTGCAGCAGTGGAGGGGCAGGGTGAATGCAGCACCTTTCTTCCCACAGAAAACCGTCTATGGCGCCAACGTCATCGTGTTTGAGGGCATCCTGGCATTTGCAAACAAGGAGCTGCTGAAGGTATTGCTGCGTGGGGTATTCTGAGGGAGGGGTCCTGCTGGCACAGCACAGCTGCCTTAGGGGGATCAGGGGGGCTGCAGAGGGGGTGCTCACCCCTCCCAGTGTTCCAGCTCCTGGACATGAAGGTGTTTGTGGACACGGACTCGGACATCCGGCTGGTGCGGCGGCTGCAGCGCGACATCATGGAGCGTGGGCGTGACATCGTGGGTGTCATCAAGCAGTACCACAAGTTTGTGAAGCCAGCCTTCGAGCAGTACATCGAGCCCAGCGTGCAGGTGGCAGACATCGTGGTGCCCCGGGGTGAGACGCGCCGCTTGCACCCGGCCCCACTGCTGCGGCGGGTGCACAGCCTCACCCTGAATCTCTGCTCTGTGGGCAGGTGGGGAGAACTCTGTGGCGCTGGACCTTATTGTACAGCACGTGCACAGCCAGCTGGAGAAGGTGAGGGGCTGGCGGAGGGCAGGTGAGGAGGGGGGTGCTCACTGCTCTGCATCCTGTGGGTCTCAGCACTGCCCCTTTATGTGACTCAAGGCAGGCAAGGGCTGGGAAGCAGGGATGGAGCAGCACCCTGCTCGTGCTGTGGCCTCATTCTCCTGTTACACCCCTCGGTCTCAAGCAGCTCTTGCCATCCTGTTTGCCCTTGATGGCGCCATGCTCCAGTCCTGCTCACAGCAGGGTTTTCCCCTTCCCTGTTCAGCACCATGAGAAGGGGTGGGAGCTGGGCCAGGGCTGCTGGCACAGTGACCAAATGTCCCTTCTTTTTTCTTTCCTCTTTTGCCACGCTGAATGTCTGCTCTCCCACCCAGCGCGAAATCACTGTCAGGTACGTTGGGGACCTGCTGGCTGGGCTACAGCCAGCTCTGGGTGGGGATGGCTGCCAGCTCCGTTGTTCTTTTGTTCTGCCTCTTCCCCATCCCTGCTGGCTGAAGCTCTTCTGAGTTGTCTGAGTGCATGTGCTGTTCCTCAGCCTCAGGGGTGGATGCTGTGCATGCAGCTCATTTGGGGTGCATGCAGCTGTGCTGCATTTGTGGGACTGCCTACACGTGCTGCTGTTGTCCCTCTCTGGAGCAGAATTCCTGCCCTGAAGGTTGGAGGTTGATCTCATAGAAAGGAGCTGGAGGTTCCCCTGGTTTTTGGTAGATCACATGGGCACCTGCAGCAGGGCAGTCCTCACGCTGTGATGCAATGTCCCAGGTCACAACCCAGCACGCCTTGCCCGTGCAGAGCTGCTTCCCCACTGCCCAGGTGCTGGCAGAAGTTGGCATGTATGTGTGCACTGCGTGGCTCTGACTGGTGCTCTCTGCTGCAGGGCAGCTCTGGCCTCAGCCCACCAGGGGCAGCCACTGCCAGCGACACTGAGCGTGCTGGAGAACACACCACAGGTGCGGGGCATGCACACCATCATCAGGTGAGTCCCTTCCACAAGGACTGTTCTGTAGGGTGACCATACCAAAGGCGGTGACACTTTGCCCGTCCCACCCCTTAACGCTTCCAGCAGGAACCAGGTGCTGCTCTGTAGCTTTGTCCTCACTCTGGTTTTTGTTCCTTGCCGATGCTCTGCTTTCTGTAGGTGGCAGTAGCACGTTCATAAAGTTGAGACCTTGTCCTGTGAACCTGTGACATGTTGCTTTGCCCTCCTGTTCCCAGGACACAAGTGTCTGATAGACTTAATCTGCTCAGAGCTGGGCGCTGGCTCAGCTGCTCGGGAGGAGGGGATCAGCCCCACTAATCTCCCTTCACCAGCAGCGCTGTGCATTGCAGCCTGGGCTGTGGGGAGGCGGACTTTGCCTCTTCCAGATGGTAAATAGAAAAACACCACATTTATGAGGGGCGTTGGCTTGGCCCGTCAGCCACCCCCTCACATCCTACCAAAGCCCATGGGAAGGAAGCAAAACTGAAGCAACACAGTTTTTAGGAACCTGGGCTGAGAAACTCTTCTGGTGAAAGGGTGCTGTGTTTGGGGGCGGCTCAGTGGCTTTGGCTCCGGTGCTCATAGGTGATCAGCCTTTCTGATCTGCCTTCCTGCTCACTGGGTGCTGGCAGCCCTGTTGCACGGTGCTGGGGCTCCCCATGCCGCAGCCGTCTGTGAGCATTGTGAGCTGGCAGCAGTTGAGCAGCTCGCTGCGTCATGGCAAATCCAGGCTTGGCATCTTGGGGAGAAGGAGATTCCAGGGCAATCCTCAGCTTTTGTGCAGAGGTGGGGAGCAGAAAGTAGCCCTGTGTGGACACAGAATGGTGTTTCCTTGCCATTGTTTGCACACCGGTCCCTGTGTACACATGGAAGGGCTCCAGGACATACGTTGGCAGTCAAGGCTTCAGGGCTTGGGTCAGCTCTGCCCTGAGCTCCTGGACTTTGTGCCTTGGCAGGATGCACTGCCCAGTTTGTGCTAAGGCTTGTTGGGCTTTCCTGGTCCTCGCAGAGCTCCTGGCTGCAAGGTACCCAGATCTGAGCACAGAAATACCCCTGAGATAGAAGCAATTGCTTTGCCCTTCTCCAAGTGCTGCTGTTGGTGGGCTGTCTGTCATCTGCGCCGTGCGATGGTGAGAAGTGGGAGATGATGTCCCAAAATACAGAATAAAAATATCCAATATACTTCTGCCTCTCAGGGACCGTTGCCAACGCCACCACTTCCATCTGCTGACCAGCTGAGAGCTGTTAGGGCTCCTTTGTCTCCCTTGTGTTCTCAAGAAAGTAACGTGCTGTGGGGTGTTTATTTACTTTCTATCTCGCCTCCTTCAGCACTGCAGCGTTGGCGCAGTCTCGCTGCACCTCTCAGAATTTCATGGAAATCTCACAGATCTGTGCCTTCTCTCCCCCAGGCTGAGTGGTCTCAGGGCTCTCAGTCGTTCCCCATTGGGATGCTCCAAGCCCCCACCACCTCTGTAGGCTTCCTCCCACATTGTTAGCCAGCCTCCAGCCTCAAGGGCTGCTCTGTGCTCACGTTCCTAGTTGGCCACATGGCTACTGAGCACCCAAACTCCCACAGGAACAAGGACACCACCAGGGACGAGTTCATCTTCTACTCCAAGCGCCTGATGCGGCTGCTGATTGAGCACGCGCTCTCCTTCCTCCCATTGAAGGTGTGGCCCTGACCCTCCATCCCTATTGCCCCAGAGGCAGTGAGGCCACGTGGGGATGGCTTTGCCCACGCTCTCTTCACCTTTCCTTTCTGCAGTCAGTCACGGTGGAGACGCCGCAGGGGACGACCTATGAAGGGAAGAGGTTCCATAGACAGCGGGTGAGATGTACCAGTCCCCTTATGCACTGGGTACCAACTGGGACAGTGCAGTGGTCAACCATTGGGTGCCTAGTAGTCAACTGTTGGCCAACCATTGGTCAGCTGTTGGTCAACCACTGATCAGCCATTGCTTGATCAGTCACCGGTCAACTGTCAGTCAACTGTTGAGCAACTGTTGGTCAACCGCCGGTCAGCCATTGCTTTGTCAGCCATTGGTCAACTGTCAGCCAGCTGTTGGCCAACCATTGGTCAGCTGTAGGGCGGTCCCTTGCCTTGCGGGTAATTGTGCGTCCCACCAGGTCCT